GGGTTCGTGTGCATACGTGCCCAAGATCCCGGGAGGAGAATGGAGGAGAAGGAATTGCGATGTGGCCATCTCCCCGGGGGGGGGGATTTCTCACTTTCTTTCTCTCTGTCTCTCTGTCTCTCTCTTTCTGGCGAGTGCACACGCCCTATAGCAAAAACCTCTCTTAAAAAAAATAAATAAAAGAAGCCATAGCTCATACCAGGGCTGGTTTAAACATTCGACACAGCAGGCACAATGTCTCAGGCTTCACTGGATTCTTCAATCCCACAAAAATGGTTCTTTTTTTTTTTTTTCTTTTTTAATAAGAAGAAGGAAATGAACTTTCAGGGTCACAGATTTTATTTATCTTCATACCAGCACAGTTACAGAATATAATTTTAAACTTTTTTATGGGGAAAGGAACCTACGAAGAGAGAAATGTCCGGAGCTCCTAGAAGTCACATGTAGGGACTACCGGAGGCCCCGGAGGGGAAGTGGCAGCTTGCTTACAGCTATGTGAGGGAGACAACACAGCTAGACAGACATGGCCCCAAACTTCATTTCCCTCCCGTACCCTGAAGCTTCATTCTCAATTGGCTTTACCCCACACACTTTTAGCCTAAGCCTCATTTCCACAGAAACAGTGAGTGCCTAAAATCTGGGGCACTGCATTCTTAATTTTAGCACCCCATCTGCTCCAGGGTAAAGGCAGACAGAAATGCACAAAACCTTCTTTTCAGAGCCTCATCCTAGGATTCCAGAGCTAATAAGCAGGCCCATCCAGGGCCCTATGAGTGCCAGTGCCATCCCAAGGCAGACTCTGTTGGCCCTGGCCTTGTTCAAGGGGACAATTCAATTGGGTAGAAGCACCTCTCCCTATTCCATTAGGCCATGTATGGAATGGGCCTCTTGGAACCCTTGGGTAATGAGCAAGTGCAGAAGCAGGTGGGAAGCGATCGTGCTGGAGTTCGCACACTCCACTGCTGCACACCAGCAACTTCCACGTATGAGAACCTCTGGAGAACTTGGCCTACATTTTGCTGTCCAAGAGTTCAGTGTGGATAGGGGTGGTTTCACATTCAAGGCACCAGGCATGTTCCTCCAGCCTCCTGGGTAAAATGGAGTTTTAATAAAGCCTCTGTATGATTCTGAATGTGACAACTAAATTTGATCCTTGGCACGTTAGTCCGTGCCCTGGTGATGTTTCTCCTGGCATTTTGCTTGTAATGGTATCCTGCTTTTGGCTGAGTTTCTCATCAAGAAGAGGCGTCTGAATTATTTTTATTTATTTATTTTCCTTTTTTGGAGAGGTTTTTGCTTTAGGGCATGTGCACTCGCCAGAAATACAGAGAGAGACAGAGAGACAGAAAGCGAGAAATCACCCCCCAGGGGGGATGGCCATGCTGCAATCCCTTCTCCTCCATTCTCCTCTTGGGATCTTGGGCACACATGCACAAGCACCCGGTGTGAGTTTAAGCCACCAGATCTGGGACTCAAACCGCAGTCAAATACATGGGAGTTCAGTGATATAGCCATTACAATAGCTGCTGGTCCCAGAGGTGTCTGAATTATTTTAGAGGCATTTGCTTCAAATTATGTGTCCCCTGCTGGGTGCATGTGTGAGCGTGCCCAAGATCCTCTGGTTTCCCATTGGTAAAATCAAAAACTTAGATTTTGTGACTCTCTCCTAGCTCTGGATTCTACTTTGTTGTTCTGTTTTTGAATGACTACTAAAGGATAAAGACTGGGGATTTGTTGTGGTTATCAGATGAATCATGAGAGGAACAGGCATGTACAAATCTTATTCTCTTTCCTCTCTCCTTCCTCTCCTCCTTCCTGAGAAGAGAGACAGAGACAGGTGTTTTTGACAGGATCTGGTCATATTGTGACCCTCCTATGCAGCCTCCCAAGCTAAGATTACAGCAATGGACAGTCCTGTCTGGAATGTTCAGAATAATCTGGAAACTGAACCCAGGCTCCCACATGCCTTCTAGCCCACCAGATGGTGGTGCACAGGAGGCTTGGGCTTTATTCACCTTTATTTTGATTGAGAATAACTCTCAGTTTCCCAGGATCAGCTTCAGACCAGGGACCTTATATACTTTCTCTTCTTCCCCCTCCCCTCACTGCTATTATTACAAGATGCATGTTAGATTCACATTTCAGAGATGAAGATTTTAGACTTAGAGAGATTCAAACACTGTGAAGTCCTGAGCCAGGAATGAAGTTTAGGTTTGACTTCATCTTGTGGCCTCCATTATTTGTATCATCATCATCATCTTGTTTGTTGCTACGAATTGAGAAGAAAGATATTCATGCAGGCAGCCACACTAACACAGCCAATGCCGAGTTAAAATGGCTTGAGTTGAGGTGTTCGCTGATGGCCTTTGCCTGGGTATAGACTCTGTTGCAAATAAAAGATGAGGGACATTCTATTAATTAAGCATCCAGAAAATGTTAGTTTCTCCTGAAGAGCTAAACTGAATCTTGGTTTATTGGAAGCAAGGCCTGCTGGCATAAACACGTGCTGACCAACATAAAGGTTTTCCTTCTTCTCCTTCGGAGAGATGGAGGTAGGGAAGTAAAGAGCCTTCCTTTGGGAAGGAATAACCCCCGTCATTCATTTTTCTTTTCTTTTAGGTTTTGCTAAGTTTGTGTGCTCACCACAGAGAGACAGAAACAGTGAGAAGCCACCCACTAGGAGGATTGCCATGCTGCAATCCCTTCCCCTCCATTTTCTTTGCAGCATTTTGGGCATGCGTGTGTGCGCACACACACACACACACACACACACACAC